TGAACTCCTGATCCTCTTGCCTCTACCTCCGAAGTGCAATGATTACAGGTGTGGGCCACCAAACAGAGAGCCCCATCTGGTAGCTATTCTGAGGCTCCCGGGAGGGCTCCCGGGGTGGCACCACAGTGCAGAGGCAGTGTGGCCTGGTGGTTCAGAACACACTCTGCTGGGCTATCATGAGAATTAAGTGAGATCATTTGTTTAAGGGTTTACTGTAAAACCTAAAATGGTTCCCCTATCATCTTTTTTTTTTTTATTTTAGCCTGACTGCTTGGCCTGTTGTCTGTGACATAATAAATCTTCAGTGAGTTATTTATGGAATAAGTAAGTGAGCTAGCTGTCCAGTAACTGTCTTGGTGTTGTTCTTTATCTTTGTATGGTGTCTTGAGGCAGGATTTTGCTAGTTACCCATGCTGGCCTTGCTCCTGAGCTAAACCTCTTAGTGTGGGTGGGACTTGTAGCAAGTGCCACCACACTCAGCTTAATTGTGTCCTCCCCAGCCCCCTGACTCCCCTTTGTCTCAGGATTGAAAAGCATTAGGTTGAATCCTGAGAGTCTGCAGGTTGTGACACAGTGGTACAGGCCTAGACTTCGAGCACTCCAGAGACCAAGGCAGGAGGGTCCATAAGTTCAAAGTTCTGGGCTAAAAAGGCAAGACCCTGTCTCAGACAGGCAGAAAGGGTGTAGTGCAAGAAGTGAACTTTAGTACCCTCCCTGCCTTCTCCCAGGCCCACATCCCCTTTCTTGCAAGCGTTTTAGCTACCTTCTGCCTCTTTCCCATGTTTTCAGTGAGCCCAGACATCGGAACTAGCTAATGCTAAACATGTTTGTCGTCTGGGTTAACTATTACATGGCAGCTAAAGATAGTCATGAAACCCTGCTCCACACTGTAGAGCAGTGGCCAGCGACTGCTGTGTGGAGTGCCTGTGGTGGCCAGGCGTGTTGGGAACACACACAGGGTTGTGCGAGACCCTCACCTGTCAGGTAGGCAGGAGTACAAGAACAAATTAGGGAGAGCAGAGGGCAGGCCTCCTGTAGAAAGGAAACGGGGCCTTTAGTAGGGACTGGGGCTACTGCGGAGATTCACTGGGGAGGGGGATAATGGTTTGTTTGCTTTGCTTTGGTCAGCCTAGACAAGCCTTGAACTCAGCAACTCAACTGTCTCTACTTCTTCAGTGCTCGGATTACAGGTGTGAGCTTTTTGTTATTTTAAGTCAACTCACTCATTAAATAAGACAGCATTAGGACTTTATAATTTCAAGGGCTTGCTTGGTGCTACTTCCCCAGTCCTCCCCAGCTGTCAGGTTATGTTGTCCAGTCGGGAACAGTATGCTTGCCCTGCTTCTTGCATGCTGCCCTGTACCCTGTTCAGAATGCCTTCCCTGTGCTTAATGCTCCCAGTGCTGGGAAGAAAGCATGGCACGTTAACTGCAGAATCCAGATGCCTGAAGCTACATATGCTGTGACTCAAGGTTGTCACTGGAGCTTTGTGCATGCCCCATGGGCTGGTTCCCAGAAGAGCTGATGGAGTGTGACTGTATATAAGCTGCCATTCTGCCAAAATGTATGTAAATCAGTACCTGCTGCCTCACTGTGCTTAAATCCTCTCGGCTCACATGGCAGTCTCTCCAGCTCCACGGGTCCGTAAGCTCTTCCTTCCTCTGCCTGTCAGCTCCGTCTGTAGCCGGGCTTCTGTATTCCCTGCCTGGGAGCCACATTCCTGGGAACAGCAAGGCTTCTTCCACTGACCTGTGAGTGGGATTGGAAGTGTTGGAAAATCCCACCCTGCAGTTCACAGCACCACTCCCTGGCCTCTGCGGCCACCTCATGATGTGGCTGTTAAGACATTAGCCTCAGATGAGGGATGAGGAGAGGGGAAGGGAGAGTACAGACAGAAGAGAGGTCTGCACTTCAGGATTGGTGTTCAGTCTCTCCTTCCCTATCCTCCATCTTACTTGTCTATTTGAGACAAGGCCTCCCTATCTCTCTACATAGTCCTGCCTGGATTAGAACTCAGATACCTGCTTGCCTCTGCCGCCCAAGTGCTGGGTTTAAAGACATAGGCTACCACACTTGGCTTCCTCTCTCTTTTTTAAGACCAGACTGGGTCTTACTAATTATTCTGGCCTGCCTACCTCAGACTCTTGGGTGTGCACTACCACACTGGGCTCTTAGTTTTGGTTTTGGTTGGTTTTGCTTTGCTTTGTTTTGTTTTGTTTTGAGGCATGATGTCCACAAATAACCCAAGCTGACCTACAGTTCGACCTTTGTCTGCCTCAGCCTCTGGAGTGCTGGGATTCTGTGACTGTGCCACCACACCCATGCCACCATGCCCACACATACATGCTCAGCGTGTGAACCTAGTCATTCTCTTCTCCCTTCCCCTTTAACTTTGTTTGCAAAGCTGTGGGGTTCCTGTGTCTTCACTGAACTCAGACTAGGTGACAAAGCTAGGCTCAGAGCTGCTACAGTGGTGCCTTTTCATCTTAGCTTGAGAGCCCGAGGCTGAGGGGCTTTGTCTCTGCCATGGTTCCAGGTCCCCTGGCTAAATGACAACTGTCTAGGAAATGGGTCTCAGTCTGAGTTACCTTTGACTAATTGGAAGCAGACAGTACAAGCTATACGAGTTCAGGCAGGAATCCCCTGGGCATTTGGAAACGCTGCTTAGGGAAAGGAAAGAACAGAGGGGTCCTGTTTTCACCTGTGTCCTCGTGCCTCCCCTCCCTTTCCAGCCCTTTTAAGGGTTGGTGAGTCCCTCTCCTAGAGTGGGTCTGTAGCAGTGTTTTCTTAGCCTGTTTGGTGTTACAAGTGTCAGTCTTCATCTCTTTAACTGACTGCACAGCGCGTCTTCACCCGGCTTCCGGTGCTGTGCCAGCGTCGTCCTAGCTCATGGGTGTCCGTCCCAAATTCAGCATCTGAGAGACCGACGGGGGGTGTCTCTCTGGATCTTTGCTTGTGTGTGACACGCATCCCTCCCCAGTTCTGCCCATCCCACCTCTGGTGGCTAGGGCTCCACGGGGTCACTGCGTTGTGCGACAGGAGGCTCTAGTTGTATTAAACTTGCCTTAAGGATCATTTGTTGCAAATAGTTCTGACTTGGAGCAGTGGCCAGTGGGGGATTTGGTTACTTACCTTTGCGGTGCTGGTGATCAAACTCGGGAGTGTGCGAGTGCTGCCACTGAGCTCTGGGGCCTTGTCGTCCTCAGCGTCCCTCCCCACTGCTGTCTGGACCTGTCTCCACTGAAGGACAGCTGATGTGACTCCGAGCGGCTCGCTGAACAGAAAGATGAGCTTAGAAAGGCTAAGGAGCCACGGACCGTAGGACCAGGGAAGGGAGACAGTGTTCCTCCTGTGGGTCTCCTTTCTAAAGGGGTTGGGGCAGAGATACCCACTAGGCCAACCAGACCCAAGATACACGGCAGGCTCCATCCCTTCATCCTACCCACACCTGCACTGTCATCCCCTTCCAACTCCGAGGTCACAAAAGCCATTAATAAAGCCCCAGGGAAGCTCCTGGCATCTTAAGGCAGCCCTGAAATCATATTTTTTTTTTCATTTAAAGAAATATAATCCACTTCCTGTGGCTGTGGATAGACACTGTACCAGAATTCTAGGGGCTCTCCAGTCTGTTCTCACAGTTCTCTGGAGATGTCCTAGGCCTGTGTGTCTGCAGACAAAGGCAGGAACTCCAGCTGATGTTTTCCTACAGTCAGCACCCGGGATGCTGTTTCCTAGTGGAAAAACACAAGGGAATTTACAGTCCCACGCCTGGCCTCTGAAATGTTCCTTAATGTTGAATTCTCCCTTTGCTGCTACAAAGGAGTTGTTGTTGGTCCCTAAGGCATTGGCACTGCCTGAACAACAGTTGATTTATGACTCCAACCTGAACTTGATGTGGCAGTCCTCCAGGACCATCTCCCAGCCCCACTCTTTGCCCACCTGATTGGCAGGAGGTGGATGATGAGGAGGGACAGGTTGCTAAGCAGCCTGACTTCTACATTGTGCCCTTGCAATGGAAATGAATAGCTGCAGTGTTCAGAAAAGAGGAGATTTGGGTCTGTCTCAGAATCAGGAGGGACTTTTTGGGGAAGGGGTGTGAGCTTGGCATGGAGCCATGCCTGACTTGGAAGGGAGTTTGGACTCTCCACACCCTTTCCCCTCCTTCCTTGGTGCCGGGGGCCCAGCTCTGCAGCTGTTCTCATGTGGATCCTGTGGCAGGACTGTTGTCACCAAGCAAAGGAAGGAGACCAGACCTGACACCTTCAGTGAACTTCTCTGCCATTCGGACATTATCACCTCGTGGCACTAAGCATCCCTGATCTTACTGAGTTTGAGGACGTTTGGGTCGGCAGAGGCCAGGGTGCGGCCTTAAGCCTGTAACCTAGCTGTCAGCCTCTCGACCTTGGTTTGGTTAGGAGAAGCAGTGACGTCAGACATTTATATTCATTGTAAAAAAAGAAAAAAGTGTTTCTCTGGACTGAATATAAAACCAGTGTAAGGAGAGGTAAGGGTCAGGAGAGCCAGAGAGAGGCCACCTCAAGCTGAGGGGTTTGGGGAGCTTCATTTAGTTACTGAAGGACTTCTTTGAGTTGCCCCTTAATCTCCCCCACCCCACCCCTGGTGTTTGAAGTATAATAGAAAAACTCCCAAGAGCAAACTCCCAGGAACAATCAGTCTCCAGAGTGGGGCATTATGGAGGGGGTCCCCCTGAAGCCCTCAGCAATGTGATTAGATAAGCTCTCCCAACCCAGGGGAGCCATGGGCAGGCAACAGTCACACAGGTGGCAGGACACTCACCTGTGGCTCACCTGAATGGCTCAATGCTGTTCCCTCCTGGGGGCCAGAGTTGTGGGGTGCCGGGAACCTTGAAGCACTGCTCACTGTGAGCACGCCGCCACCAGTCACCCGTTCAACTTCCATGAACAGTTCAGGTGTCTTGGCGAAGAGAGTGACTGGCCAGGAGCCCAGCCTTACCTTTGCGTGGTTCTTTCTCTCCACAGGATAATACAGAAGCAGAGAAGCGGGATCCCCAGGAACTAGTGGGTGAGTACCCTAGGGTCATACTTCTGAGCCTTGCCTTGAGCAAGCGGCTTATTTATGCCAAGCCTCTGTTCTTTTCAGCATCTCACTGCTATGAGCAGTTTCTCTTCATACTCTGAGGCCTTTGGCATTTCCTTGGGTGACTGGGTGAGACCTCTGGACAACGGTCTTTGAAAATGGCATTCTGTGTGTGCTTTTCTGGGCTTTGGTTGGTTGCCAGTGTTGTCAAGGGAGTTGAGAGTCCCTGGCAGCTGGGAGCCCATCTTGGTCTTTGCTTCTTTCTCTTGTGCCCTGGGCCTGACCTCTCTGTCTTTATATCCCCTTACCCCGACTACCATATTCTTGTTGCTAGAGTCGTCAGCATGGGGCCTCTGCTGCACTTGGCCTTGTCCCCAGACAGGAACATCCTCACGGCGTTGGCCAGTGTGGCCCTTGCTAACTCTGGAGAGTGGCGTGACTCTCTGGAAGCCAGATTCCATCCCTGACCTCTGCGAGCCACAGCCCCTCAACCCTCTTACAAAGCCACTCTACTCCTGAGATTGGCCATGGACTTGGTGTCAGCTCCAAAACCCTGAGCCAAGGGGAGTTCCTGGTGCCCCTGTCAGGTCCAGCCTTCCCTCTGCAACAGCCATCTCCTGCTCCCTGGCCACTGTGCTAATCTTGAGACAAGTACTTCTGTTCCCAAAAGACACCTGCAGAACCCACCCCTGCATCTCCACGAGCACATTCAGTGCTTGTGCTTTCCAGCCCTGGGGGTTCAAAGCCCAGAAACTTGGCTTCAAAGTGGTCTTCCAGTGTTCTGCCCACCTGCCTTTTTTCCACCTGCCCTTTTGCTGTGGGCTGTTGATGAGTGACTGGTTTTCCATAACTAAGTGCAGGAATTATTTATTCTGTTTTGTCTTGAACAAGAACATGGTGACTCTGCATTGATTCTGGGTTGTGTTTGGTTGGTTGGTTGGTTGGTTGGTTGGTTGGTTGGTTGGTTGGTTGGTTGGTTTTTCGAGACAGGGTTTCTCTGTGTAGCCCTGGCTGTCCTGGAACTCACTCTGTAGACCAGGCTGGCCTCAAACTCAGAAATCCACCTGCCTCTGCCTCCCAAGTGCTGGGATTAAAGGCGTGCGCCACCACTGCCCGGCTGATTCTGGGTTCTCTGATAGACAGAGGTCAAGTCTTATTGAGAAAAAAAAAAGCAGACAAAGCAGGGGCTGTAGAGATGACTCAGTGCCTGCCATGCTTGCAGAGGACCCAGGTTCATTTCCCAGCATCCGTGTAGGGAGGTTCACAACTTCCTGTAGCTCTAGGTACAGGAGTCCAACGCCCTGCTCTGCCAGACCTCAGTAGGAATGTGCAGACACAGGAACAGCACGCACACTCAAACACCTTTACCTGCGCCTATGTAAATTAAAACCAGGGCTTCCTTAAACCTTAGAAATTCTTCTTTACAAAATGACACTTGGAATATGACAGCTTAAGGGCAGAAGAGGCCCGATACACATCTAACCGGAAGCCAGCGGCCTCTGCAGTGGGTGACACACAGGCCAGGTCTAGTGGGAACTGAAGCCTCTTCTTTCTGTCTGGGTCCCACTTCACTCTGCTGTTCACCACTGAGAAACTTCAAGGTTTCGGTCAGAAAGCAGCCTGGCCATGATCCAGTTCAGCAGTGCCCTCCGCTCACATGAGCAGTGTCAGACAGGTGGTGGAGGTGTTGGGGCACCAGCCAGACTTCACAGAACCAGCTTGGCTCTTTTCCTCTGGGGTTGTTTTTTTGTTTTTTGTTTTTTTTTTAAGATTCATGTATATAGCATAGACTGGCCTCAAAGCTATGTACCCCAGGCTGGCTTTGGCCTGGCTGTCCTCTTTCTATGTAGCCCAGGCCGGCTTTGACCTGCTGGTCCTCTTTCTATGTAGCCCAGGCTGGCTTTGACCTGCTGGCTGTCTGCTTCAGCCTCTCAGAGATCTGGTATTACAGGAACTGCCACGACACCCGGCTTCTGTGCCATGTGTTTGAAACAGGTGTAATCTAAAGAGTAAAAGTTGTGAGTTTACGTGTGCCATTGGTGGATTTGATAGACATTAGTGTCTGTGCTAGCTGTCCCCTCCACCCTTCCTGATGGTTCCTGGTGCTCAGCTCCCCTGTGCAGGCGCTGTTTTCCTTCAGTCTCAAGTAAGAAGTCCTCTTGATGGCCATTCAGTACTATTTTAACAGTTTCATATGAATTAGGGCCCACTGACAAACCCTTGAGCTGGGTCACTCTGTTAGGAGGGCCTTCCTGTGCATGATCGGATACTTGTCAGAATTACTGTCCGCCAGTAAGTGTCTCTTTGAGGGCAGGATCACCACAGGCTGAGTGCCTGGTACAGATCGTTGATTTGCTGCCTGGCGTTCTGTTTGTGCAGGTTCCTTAGAGGTTGCATGCACACTACTAAGCAGGGGTATTCCTGTACATGTGTCTGTTTTGACTAAGGAACCTCTTGATATAGTCGACATAGTCTGTTTATTTGCTCTCTTGGGCAGACACAGTCCATTGTCACCTGCAGGGTGAGTATACTCGTTCCTCTTTGAGCAGTGGGTGGTAAGTCAGCTCTTCAGCAGAGTGGCTGGCAGAGTGTCTGTAACAGAACGAGCCAACCACAGGCTTCTCCAGTGCTGTAGCTCCTGACAGCTGCCTGCCCCACGGGCCTGGAACAATGTTGGTTGTAGTCCAGGGGGTCTTCAAGTCACTAGGAGCCTCCTGCTTACTGCCAGTTAAGTAGCCTGCAAGCGTCCTCGGCCCCACTAGGCTTTATGTCCCTGTTCCCCCTGCCATAGCCTAAGTCCCTGGAACTAGCTGCCTTGCTCAGATTCCTACCTGGTGGCCATGGATACTGCAGATGTTTTCCGACAGAGGCATTAGCAGGCTGTGACTCATGCTGACAGCAGGCTTTGCAGATAGTAAGTGCAGCTCCCCCTAGCATAGCAGAGCAGCAGGCACTGTCACACGCTGGGTACACTGTTTGACACTTCCTGGGATGTTAGGGGCTCCGGCTGCTCTGCAGGGTGGCTGTTCTCTCTGTACTGGACACATTCTAGGACTCAGGAAGAGTCACTCAAGTCTGTCCTCAAGTCTCTGTGGTATACTTTTATTTTTTATTAATTTTATGTATATGAGCGCACTGTAGTCTGCAGTATACTTTTATTTTGTTGTCCAGAATATGTCACCTTCTTGTCATTTGCTTCCCAGGAATACTCTTGTTTCTACCCCAGCTTATAAGGGGCTCCCTCCTCCCATCAGACTCTACCACTTCTGTCCCAGGGGGAGGGGGAGGTTGCTACAGTAACCATGGCACACCCTGTTTTTTTAAAAAGCTTTCCTGGCAAATGGCAAAGGGCACTCTTTGTCTGTGTCACATGTGCATATACCTTCTGTGGCCCAGTGCCCGCTAAGGGCTTCTTGGTTTTGTTATGAATACTCATAGTGCTCCAGCCGGCTCTTTCCACCTGCTTCCACTCTCAGCTGCCTCTGTAGACTGAGCGCAGACCTAGAACTTCTGCTTATCCTGGGGCTGGGAGAAAGGAAGAAATAAAGATTTGGCTTGACTACCTCCCAGAGCTGCGTGGTGCCTGCCTAAGGGCCATTTGGGAGATGGTAGAAAGGTATAGGGCAGCAGCAAGTGTGTATTCCCCTTGTGGAGTCTGTTCTCGGCTGCTATTGCTTCTCAGGCCCACAGCACAACCTTTGTTCCGTAGCCCAGCCTGTGCTTAGGGTGTGTCTAGTTACAACTGAAGCCCAGCACTATACTTGTGTTTTAAGACTGCCTCAGTCCTGACCTCTGGCCTCAGTGTGTTCATAGTGTGCACAGGTCCAGTCCACAGAAACTGACCTGGAAGTCATTAGAGTCTTGGGGTCTGGAAGGCCTTGTCTTACTCAGACTGCGTTTGTCACAGTGCTGGGAACTGTGCAGAGATCAAAGCACCTTATCTGCTAAGAAGAAAACATTAACCCATGCCGGGTGCACGATGCACATGTCCCAGCCAATCGAAAGGCTGAAGCAGGAGAGCTGCTTGAGCCCAGGAGTCTGGGCCAGCCTGGAGCCATGAATGAGGGGTTCCCCCCTACACACACCTAGTTTTTCATTTTTGTTTTTCCGTTTTGTTTTATTTTAATTTCTTAAGACCTGGGATTATTTTAAAAATCATGACTGGAAGGGAGGCACAGCAGCTAACACATTCTGCTCTTGGACAGGACCCATGTCTAGGGGTCACAACCTCCGGTAAATGTCACCTCCAGGGGATCTGATACCTCTCTGGACTCCAAGGGCACCACACACAGACAGGTGTGTAGTTTTTAAAAAGTAAAATCTTAAAAAAAGAAACCCAGCCTCGGACTAGAGACCAGGAAGGCCGTGCCACCGTCTGCCTTCAGTCAGACCCTGCAGCTCCCTAGAGCTGCTCCTAGGAAGGGCTTAGGTAAGGGTCTACCACACAGTAGGTCCTCCTGCAAGTTCTAGGCTAGATGCTATTGGTGGTGGCTTTTTGGTGCTTGCCTTCCTCCTGCCCCACCCTGTGCTGTCACTGTTTGCTCATTGTATGGTTCTTTTCATGAGGAATTTCAAAGAACATAACAGAATCTTGCAACAATCAGCCCTTTGTGCTGCAGAGGACTCTGAGGTCCTGGGGTGCCTGGAGGCTGCAAGGAAGGGAGAGAGGAGGCGAGGCTTGGGTGGGCAGTGGTTCTCTGAGGGGATTCATTGCTCTCGGGAGTTGTGGTTCTTGTGTCAGAATCAGGCCTTTTGTTCAGATCTTTCGTATGCTCAAACTGTTTGGGACTCAAAACATTAGGAGCCCTTACCACAGCTTCTCATTGCCCAGTCAGGACAGAACCAGGCCGATCAGGATGGGCAGTGCCGAGGCCGAGGCTGACACATGTCTCTTCCAGTCCTGAGCTCAGTGTCTTCCACATTGGCAACCTGAGATTGAGCTTAGGCAGGGCAGGGTTTACACTGAAGAAATTGGCAAATGCTTTGGATTGTGGCTCCTCCCCTTTCCCTCCCCCAGTGCTTCTCCAGACGTGTTCTTTCCTTAAACATCAGTTGCTGCAGCTTGGTAGGATGTGTTATTTACATCTGTCCCCTCTACCTGAGCTTCCCTTCTCCCAGGTTGACACATGGCTGCCTTCTGGGTATTGAGCTCAGCTCGGGGAACACTGGCCATTTTCCGAGAAGCCGGTGGGCGCCTCCCCTTCTGATTTCACAGCTCAGTTCCTTGAGTCCTCACTGGAGTTGTTTTGTGCTTTTATAGCCCCTGGCATTTCCTCTCAACACAAGAATCCCCTCTGTTTTCTCCACAGCCTCCTTTTCTGAAAGGGTCCGCAACATGTCACCCGATGAAATCAAGATCCCACCAGAACCGCCCGGCCGGTGTTCAAATCACTTACAAGTAAGCGCAAGTCTGGCCGCTGAGGCCCATGTGGCTGAGATGGCCTGGGTTACATTGTCTGCTTGTGCTGTGACCTTTAGAGGCTGTGGCAGGGAAAGAACAAGTCAAGCTGCCCGATGGGCAGGAGCCTGCAGTCTTGGATACTTCCTGTAAGCCAGAACTCAGGAATTGACCCCCATTGCCACACCTGCTATGTGCTGCCCTCTTGTGTACCTGGGCTGCCCTCACTGAGCCGGGGCACTTCTCAGGGAAATTTGCCGAGAAACTGAGGATCCATCAGAGTGTAAAATAACTTCTAGACATTTACCATGTAGCGCTTAGATGCACAGTTTCCATCTTTGTGTTCCTAATTCAGCAGCTTCTGCCTCAGACCTGACCTAAGGCTTTAAGTGCCTGAAGAACAGAAGCTGTCCATCTGTGCAGTCAACTGGGGGACATGGGAGCTCAATGCAACTGAGATTTCACCCATATGGTTGTTTCTCCTTGTTCCTCTGTACGTGGCCCTGTGCATGGGACCTTTCCGTTAACAGCAGGGCAGATGCCTAAGGCTGCATATTAGTGAACCTTCTCCACCTGCCCCACCTTGGACCCCACAGCTTCCTCTGGGTGCCCCCAGCTATCTAACAAGCCCATGGCACCGCCCACACGGATGGGTGACTAATGGGTCCTAGGGCAGAGGAATGCAGCGGTCCAGGAGAGGGCCAGAGTCAGGACTAGGGCACAGCACGGATTTTCTTCCTTTCCCAGAAGTCTCCTCCCTTGGCTGAGTTATCTGCCTCCCTCCCCTTTACCCCCCAGGATGGCGTCACTCTCCATGCCAAACAAGTTCAAGCCTGTGAGGACAGTTCCAGAGGCCTGCCAAGCAGAAGCCATGAGCCACCCCAAACATAGCTCTGTTTGATTTTTTTTTGAGACAGGGTTTCTCTGGAGCCCTGGCTGTCCTGGAACTCACTGTTTAGACCAGGCTGGCCTCAAACTCAGAGATCTACCTGCCTCTGCCTCCTAAGTCCTAGGATTAAAGGTGTGTGCCACTGCTGCTGGCTTTCAGAGCTCTTAAGTTCAGAATATTTTTCCTTTTAAAAATATTTATTTACTGATCCTACTGGGTAGGAGCCATGGCATGTAAACAGCAAAGCCTCTGATAGAGACCAAGCAACTGTAAGGCAGGGCTCACCTCAGGCGGCTGAGCCTCCTGTGGAAGGGCTCCCTGCAGTGCCCTTGATGTACCACAAGGAAAGCAGCACACACTGCCAGCTTCTTTCTCACTCCCTGGTAACAAAGTGCTTTGCAAACCTCTCAGGCTTCATCACGCCTGTCTTAGCAGACCAGGGGAGTGGCCACCTCTTCTCAAAAGTGCCTGGAGTACTACCCAGGACCTCTAGCCCTTCCCTCCTTTAGCAGGCAAAGTGTTCCCGCAGGGAAGCCACAATTGGCCCTTAAATTGAACCACAAATCAAGTTCTTGACTCAGTGCTCTTCTCAGAGGAGGCTCTGCCCTGAGTTGCGTGTCTGGGGCTTCTTCATTGGCTGCACCAGGCGGCATTGATGCCATCAATTTTAAGAATTCTGTTGCTGTGATTAAAAGAACTGTAACTAATCTGGGCACTGGTGGCTCACACCCTTAATCACTTGGTAGGCAGAGGTAGGCAGACCTCTGAGTTTGAGACCAGCCTGGTCTGGTCTATAGCATGAGTTCCAGGACAGCCTGGACTCCAAAACCAAACAAACACACATACACACACCAAGACCAAACAGAACAGACAGGCCTACAGGGCAGTCTTAAGAAAACATTTTCTCCGTTAAGATTCCCTCTTGTCGCTGGACAGTGGTGGCACACGCCTTTAATCCCAGCACTTGAGAGGCAGAGGCAGGTGGATTTCTGAGTTTGAGGCCAGCCTGGTCTACGGAGTGAGTTCCAGGACAGCCAAGGCTATACAGAGAAACCCTGTCTCGAAAAACCAAAAAAAAAAAAAGATTTCCTCTTCTCAGGTATGTCTAGGTTGGTGTCAAGTTGGCAGAACCCAGCCAGCACAGCGTCTGTCCCAGGCTTGGTCTCTTTGGCCTGTATCACCAGCTTGGATGCTGGCAGTAGGTTGGTTTGTTTGTTTTCCTAGGCCAGGGGTCCATGGAGGAGGGGGCTGGGTGAGAGATTAGATTCAGTCCCTTGCTTGTGACCCGCAGTTAACTGACATGAGCCAGCTCTTTCAGATACCTTACAAAAGACATTCAAAAGTGTAACTAACTCAGCAGTAAAGCATGCACCTGGCCTGTAGTGAGGCCCTAGTTTCATCCCAAGCACCACCAGTTTTGTTTTGTTTTGTTTTGCTTTTAAAGGCATCTAGGAAGTTTGCATCCAACTACGAAAAAAAGATACTTTCCCAGGTCTCCTGAGCCTCGGATCTTCTTGTCAGTCTTAAGACGTCACGCTCCTCTTTGTGTGGGGGAGCTGGTAACCAGTTTGTTGCTTGCCTTCCAGTGGCTTCTGATTTGACCTTTCTCCCACTCTCTACCCTGACCGTCAACCAGATCAGGAGAAATCAGCAAACTGACCGATTTGGGCTTGACTTGCTGTACTTGCCTCTGGTCAGAGGCAGGGTGGGCGGTGGGATTGTGACTGGAGTCAGGTGTAACATGGCTGGAGGTATAGCAGGATCGTGGGGACAGGCTTCTGTCCAGCTCACCCTCTGTCCCTCCATAGGATAAGATCCAGAAGCTCTACGAGCGGAAGATAAAGGAGGGGATGGATATGAACTACATCATCCAAAGGAAGAAGGAGTTCCGGAACCCCAGGTGAGGCCCCCACAAGCCTGGAGGCAAGACAAACGGTAGACAGGGACCAGGAAGACCTTGTGAAGCTGGCAAGGAGAGCCCAAGTGGCTTCACCAGACTCCCACTTACACAAGCTGCCTGGTAGACACGTCAGAGATTTACTCGTAAAATACAGGTTCAAGGTGTGAACCAGTCCACCAAGATGGCTAAGAGGCCTGGCTGGGTTCTGCTCCCCACCCTAGTCCTAAAGGAGGACATTCAACAAGATACTCACTAGAGGTTCTTCCAACCCAAAAGGCTTGGCTTTGCCTCTTGGTAAAAGGGACAAGGTATGTCTGGGTCTGTTGTGTGGGGGTGTCTGAGTTAGGCCCCCACTGTGCAGAATCCATCTGCCTCTGCCTCCCGAGCACTGGAACTAGAGTGCTATAGTAAAAGGTGTTCATCACCACGCCTGGCTGTGTCCCGGGCTTATTCTTTCAAATGCTCAAGCTAGTAAAACACCCAGGAAGAGCAAGTGAGCCCCGTGTCAGCAGGGACCTACCCGAGCCAGTTGTGTGGGTCTTGAGTGTGGAGGCCCGTGCTAACTGAAGGCCAGAAACATCTACACTAGACATGGCATTCAGATGTCGTCCTGACCGCCCCATCCTGGCCCCAGCTGCAGCCTCTCTGAGGGTGCGGAGCAGAAGTGAGGGGGAGGCAGATGTCCCATCTGGAGTCTGCGTGGGTTTAAAAGGCTTCCTCTCTTTGTTATCGTTCCTGGAGCTGGTGGTTCTGGTTCCATACAGGAATATGGGACCAGTGCAGAGCCTGCTCATGGATTCTTCTGTTCCCTTTTCAGCATCTATGAGAAACTGATCCAGTTCTGTGCCATTGATGAGCTGGGCACCAACTACCCAAAGGTATGTCCTATACACAGGGGCTGGAGAGCAGTGGAGCTTGCTGTAGTGGGTGTGTCTGGGCGCCACAGAAGGTCCATGGAGCGGCACTGCTGGTAGTCTGGCAGATGCCAGTGACAGGCTGGGTCTCTGGGTCCCAACCAGTTAGAAGCCAGGAGTGGGCCCACTGCCACCACCACCACCACCAGCTGAGCAAATGCTTACTGTCTGCTCTCAGGAGCTTCCTGGTGTGTGGCTAGTGATCAGGGAGCCAGCTGAAGCCCTGGGTCTTCAAGAGGCTGGGCCCCTGGCCTGGGGAGCTCCGTGTCTGGGCGCCGTGCACTGTGATGGTCGCTCTGACTACAGCTTACCTTCTCTTCTCAGGATATGTTTGATCCCCACGGCTGGTCTGAAGACTCCTACTATGAGGCATTAGGTAACCTCTGTTAGTTTTCTGTTTATCTACACATCCACACACCCATCCGTCTGTCCATCCAGTCAGTGACTTAGGGGACCCATATCTCAGGGTCTCTATGCCAGGCCGTGTGCACAGGGCTCCTGTGGACAAGACTGATTTTGTCCCTTCCTGACAAGACTTGGACACAGTGAAGACAGACGGTTGGAACAGTAATTCCCACACTGATGGCACTGAATTAATGTGAGCAGAGTTGTGGCACAGCCGGAAACCTTTGGCAAGCAGAGTGCCTGACCTGGCCAAAGGGCTGGGGAGGCCCTGCTCAGGAGACTGTTAGAGCTCAGGTTTGGAGAGGTGCAGGGCCAGAATGCCCGGGGCACAGGAGCTGTGTGTTCTAAGGCCAGTGAACACAGCACAGAGAACTCAGAGTCATTTCAGAGCCTGGGCCTCTAAGTCCCTGTCACAGGCCAGAAGCTTGTAAACCAGGTCCGGGCTCATTAGTGTGCGTGTGTGTGGTCCTCACAAGTTTTGCCTTATTTTGAGTTAGTTACCAATATTTTTATTTGCAATAAACTTCTGTATCTAGCGTTTTTAGGCAGTAGGATGGTAGTTCCCACTGTGAAGTCAGGGGCAGCCTGCCCTTCCCAGCAGGATTGTGGCCCCCAGACCCTTGGTCCAGGCCCACGTTCCATGCTGACCAGGGCCTAGCACTTGATCCCATCAAGTACGGAAGGCTGCTGAGCCCGTGCAGCCCTTTAGGCCAGTGTAAAGAACACAGGGTCAAGGCAGTGACTCCCCGTCACACACACACTGCTCCCAACGCCTGTCTCCACAGCCAAGGCCCAGAAGATTGAAATGGACAAACTGGAAAAGGCCAAAAAGGAACGAACCAAAGTAAGTACTCACTGATCCTGGGGAGGACTGCTGCGTGTGGGGAGGACTGCTGCATGTGGGGAGGACTGCTGTGTATAGACTGCTGTGTGTGGGGAGGACTGCTGTGTAGGGAGGACTGCTGTGTTGGGAGGACTGCTGTGTGTGGGGAGGACTGATGTGTGTGAGGAGGGCTGCTGTTTGTGGGGAGGACTGCTGTGTGTGGGGTGGACTGCTGTGTATGGGGAGGACTGCTGTGTGTGGGGTGGACTGCTGTGTATAGACTGCTGTGTGTGGGGAGGACTCCTGTGTGGGGAGGATGGCTGTGTGTGGGAAGGACTGCTGTGTGTGGAGTGGACTGCTGTGTGTGGGGAGGACTACTGCGTGTGGGGAGGACTGCTGTGTGGAGGATTCCTGTGTGGGGAGGATGGCTGTGTGTGGGGAGGACTGATGTATGTGTGGTGGCCTGCCGTGGGCCGTGCAGGTCCTGCTGGCTGAGTGGAAGAATCAGGCTTCGCAGGCTGCCTTCCACCCCTACTCTTCATTGCCTAGTGAGGCTTTGAGCAGCCTTGGCCACGGCCTCTGTCATCAGCAGATGGCTGTGCCCAACCCCGGCCTCAGCTATAGAAATCTCCACTGCTCAGTTGTAGAAGGCGCAGCACCCCTGCATTCTGCCCTTCCTTACCCCCGTTGCAGAGCCGTGGTGGCTTTGTCTCTTATGCCTCACTGATGCCTCCCCAGCCGGATTAGAAGTTGGTGACCTTCTGAGAGTCGGGCTAAGGCCTACTCTGGTTTGTGCATTTCTTGGCCTGCTGGGCTGACCTCTGCAGCCAGCCTGTGTGGGTCCCTGTGGATCGCATGTCTGAGAGCCACATAACTGTCATTTTGGACATCAAGCCCCACTTCTTTAGCAATGTCATTGAAGAGGGTCTTTTAGGAGCAGCAGATTAGCTCCAAGATCCCAAGACCATCAGCCGAGCATCAGGACACCACCTCCTCCTACTCCCAGCAGCTGTGACCCACAAGATACTCCCTTACCTCCAGGCTCAGGGCTGCAAGGCCTAGGTGTGCTGCTGGCCTCTCTGAGGGCTTTGTGGCCAACAGTGTGGGAGCGAGTGGTGAGAGGGGAGAAACTAGGTTTCTTGTCCTTTTTTACAGTTACTTATGTACTTTCTGTATACGAGTGCTGTATCTGCACGTCTGCCTGTGTGACAGGAGAGGGCGTCAGACCCCATCACAGGTGGTCGTAAGCCGCCGTGTGGGTGCTGGGACTGAACTCGGGGTCTCTGGAAAAAAACCGGTGCTCTTAACCACTGAGCCAGCTCTGCAGCCCCAAGTTTCTAATTCTTAACCATTGAGTGAACCTCCTCTATTCTTTCTTTCCCCCTCCCTCCAGACCCCAGGCTTATCAAAGGTCCAGGGACCACAGCTGTCCTTCCCCTGTGCAGAAGGCATCACTTCCTCCTGGGTGTGAGGAAGAGAGGCCTGGCAGCTGGTTTAGGGGGACAGTGGGCAGGGTGCAGTAACATGTGATGCTGGGAGGGATCCCACATCTGTTGAGAGAGTTCTTGGAGGACTGGTGAAAGCCCTTCAGGCACCTCCCCCTCTCCCAGGTGCTCCCAGCCAAGATGGGTTTCAGGGCCTCTTTTGTGTAATGCCAAACTCCTGTGCCCTGGGAGCAGACAGACGGATGGCACAGGAAATGGACACACAGCTCTGCAATGGTCTCATTGTCCTCTCTCCCCTCCAGATTGAGTTTGTAACGGGAACCAAGAAAGGAACCACAACCAATGCCACGGCCACCACCACCAGCACTGCCAGCACAGCTGTCGCAGGTACAGGCTGCTCATCCTGTCCCTGCACTGCCTCAGGGCCTCCGGGAAGAACAAGAGCTTCCTGGGTTTGTCTGGAGAGGGTCTATGCCAGGCTCGGCCTTGCTGTGCTCTGCTGATGTGAGGATACCAAGGCTCCCTGATCACTGGCTCCCCTCTGGGTTCCTGGACCTGAGCCTGCCTCTGGCCTGCCTTTGGGGTCCTGTTGGTCAGTGCTGATCTTGATCCCTCTTTTGTATCACCTCTAGATGCCCAGAAGAGGAAAAGCAAATGGGACTCTGCCATCCCCGTGACGACAATAGCACAGCCCACCATCCTCACCACCACAGCCACCCTGCCAGCAGTGGTCACTGTCACCACTAGTGCTAGTGGCTCCAAGACCACCGTTATCTCTGCTGTGGGCACCATCGTGAAGAAGGCCAAGCAATGACCAGAGGACACCCAGGACTTGGCAGGACTGTGCAGCCCAGTAGCTTCCACCCACTGGGAGGTGCCACTCTGTGTGTATAGGACTGAGATGCACTCCCCACATGCCTTCTAAGAGGAGCCTCTGACATTCCAGCCGGAAGGACATTACAGCAGAGGCAATGGTGTGCATTGGACAGGATCTGTCCGTACACCTCTTGGGTCTCACCCAATTAAAAGTACTGTTTCTTGGGTCCTGGCATGTCAGGTGCACTGCTCTCCCATGCTGTGTTCAGACAAACCTGGAGCTCAAGTGCCCGCCCTCTGGAACAGTCAGGATGCAGTGCTCAGAGGGGCAGCCCAGGGAGCTACCATGGTCATCCCAGTGTGTGCCCAGGACGTGGGCAGGTGGGAGCTCAAGGAGGGGCCACACACATATCCTTTCCTGTTGTCTATTTTCCTATTTTCCTGATCCTGAAACCAGGTCTCACAATTCTCAGGCAATAACAGAGGCCGCTGCTCTCTTGGGTGCAGTTAAACACTCCCCACACTGCTTCTGATACACACCCAGGCTTTTGAAATCAGGCCAATTAGCAGAGGGCTGGGATGTGATTCCCAACCTGCCCAGGGCAGGAGCAAAGTGTGGGCACCTGGCCAAGGCCGCCCCAGCCCCTCGGTGCCCAGTGAGTGTGGCCAGCAGGATCCACGCAGTGGGGGAGATGAATCACCTCCGCTCTCCAGGGCGGCAGCTCATTGTTTATGTGAAGGCTGAGCTCTTGGGAAGGTCTCTGCCACCCCACCCTTCCTATGTCGTTATCTCTACCCGGCAGCAGCCCTGGGTAGCACCAGTGGCCACTCTTGGGGCCCAAACAGATTCACCAGCCCAAGCTGGAGGGAAAGCTTGTCTTTCGTGCCCTCTGGCAGCTCTCCTCCACACTCAGCGGAAGGGCTGAGTGTCAAAGGAGGAAGTGGGGCTGTGAAGGCTTCCATGGGACCCACAGAGACACAGCCTCTGAAGTTGTGTTTGGTATTTGTGTGATCTGGGGACTGACAAGCTGCCCATGAAAACCCAGTCACTATTGTCCCTTACTGTCCCTGACTACACCTTGTGTCCTGAGCACCTTTGGAAAGGTCTACCTTGCAGGGGGCTCAGGACACCCAGGTCTGAGTAGGCAGCTCAGGAGATGCACTGAGGGCACCAGCACCTCGGCTCTGGAGTCCAGTCTGCAGCAGGCCTGAACCAGTCCCAAGGAGCCTCAGTAACACTTCCTAAGGGCATCCTGAGGGGTCCGAGATGGTGAAGCATGAGTTTCCAAAGCCAAAGCAAGGTCGGCCATATCCCCATCAAGAGCCAGTTAGATAGGGTCTCCTGTAGCCAAGGCTTTGAAAGTCTGATCCTCCTGCCTCTGCTCCCCAAGGGCTGGGATTACGGACATGAATCTTCACACTTGGTTTATATGGTGTGAGGGATTGAATCCAGGACTTCCTGCATGCTAGGCTAACACCAAGTGAGCTACATTCCCATCTCCTACCAGGGGTCTGTGCGGATGGGATGCTGAGGACCCGGCTGTTTGCCGGGTGTCTCTAGACTCGCTGCTGCCAGTTCAGTCTTCTTTCTGTAGTTCAGGATCCAGGCTGAGGGATTGCAGCCACCCACGTTTAGTGTGTGTCCTCCAGTTAACCTAGTCAGTGCAGTCCTTCACGGGCACGCTCACAAGCTGGATAATCCCCACGGGTGTGCCTGGAGGCTTGTCTAAGTGATTCCAGACATTGAGTGGGTGCCAACCATCACAGTGGTGGGGTGTTCAGCACCTCAAGTTGTGGTCACCTGACTCGGTTTGACACACCTTGCACCAGGTTCACTCTGTGACTAGATTCCTGGCCTACCACCGTTGCCAGTGGTCCTGTGCTGTAGGCCAAGTGTGCAGGCCGCGCTGCTGTTTTGTGACTTACACTTTTATATGTTAGGGTTGCCATCAAACCCGGCCTTCCTGTTCTACCACTGAGCTAATCAAGTTCCAGGCCCTTCTGAAGAGGAGAGGTGTTGCCCTGTGTACCCCAGACTAGCCTCAAATGAGTCTCTTGCCCCTGCCTACTAAGTGCTAGAATTATAGGTGTACCTCTATAACCGGTTTGGTTTTGGGGGGACAGGTAAGGATCGAGACAGAATTTCTCTATGTAACATACCTGGCTGTCCTGGAACAACCTGTGTACAACAGGTTGGCCTTTGAGCTAACAAGAGATCCTCCTGCGTCTGCCCCCTAAGTGCTGTGATTAAAGGTGTGCCCCACCACGCCTGCCTTGGTTTGGGTTTTTCTGAGTTGGAGTTTTAGGACAATGAGGAGGCCTTGTGGATAAAGCGCTTGCCGCAGAAGCACAGGGATCCCAGCACCCACAGGAGCTGGGCTAGATGTGTGCTGTGGACAGAAAACCCCACCTGGAAAAATTAAGATGTGAAGCAACAGAGGAAGACATCCCAGCATCAAGCTCCACTGTGCACACACACAAAGGCACATGTGCCTGCACACAAAGAAACAGCTGGGACTGCAGGTGCATGCTGTTACTTATCCCCGGCTCTCATTTTGTATGTTGTGGATGGATTTGGAGTAATCTTCAGGAGAAAGTAAGTGGAAAAGCCGGGTGCAGAACAGTGCGGACAATGTGCCTGCCTCACTGTGTATAAGGAAAGGAGAAAAGACAAGACAGTGGTGCAGTAGAGAGCACACACTGCTCCTCAAGGACCCTGGATTGATTCTCAGCACCCATGTCCAGTGTCTCACTGTGACTCCAGTTCTGGCTGTATCCCATGACAGACTCAAGGCACCTGCATTCACATATCCACACAGACACAGTAATTTAGAATAACATCCTTGGAATAAAAGAAAGAAGAAAGTTATACAAGGGTGTAGGGGATAAGAGGGTCTGGGATTGTGACTCTGCCAGAGCATGCAACTCAACAAGCAGGAGACCTTGACGTCAATTCCCAGAGGAAGATAAAAGGCAGGGAAGAAAAACAGCTAGCTCCCTGGTGTTCATTTGAAAGTTGGATATTTGTGATATTTAAGAACATACTCGGGCTGGAGAGATGGCTCAGTGGTTAAGAGCACTGACTGCACTTCCAGAGGTCCTGAGTTCAAATCCCAGCAACCACATGGTGGCTCACAACCATCTGTAATGAGATCTGATGCCCTCTTCTGGTGTGTCTGAAGACAGCTACAGTGTATTCATATATAATAAATAAATAAATCTTAAAAAAAAAAAAAACACTCCAGTAGCGATGCACCAGAACTTGAGTCCACAGACAACAGGCTACAGGGAGAAAGGCTGATTTCAGAATCCAAGTGGGACCAGAGACGCTTGTTCCAAAACACAAGGAAGACTTCTGAGCCTAGGAGCCATCTTGATTATTTTTGTTGATTTGTTGGGTTTTTGAGCAGAGTCTCCATGTGTAGCTCAGGCTGGCAGAAAACTCATCATCCAACCTGGCTCCAGTCTCCAACCGTTCTCATCTTCCGAAGCCGAGGATACAGGCATGGGGGACCCACCATGCTGGACTCAAAGTTACTGTAATAGGGTGGAGGTGGGGAAGTTGAGACAGGGTCAAAGAGCTGTTTGGAAGAGATTCCTCCACTTGCCTCATTCATTAAATGTGACTGTGGGCTGGGTATGATAGTGCAGTCCTTGATCCCAGCACTTGAGACCAAAAAGAAAAAAAAGGAAGAGCTGCAGTGAATGGTAAACTATAGAGTAAATGAAGATCTATTCATATTCTCACTTGTTTTTATCTTTATTATGTGTAAAGTTCTTTTGCCTTCATATACACCTCTGCACCATGAGGGTGCCTGATCCCCGAGGATGCCAAAGAGTGCTTCATGTCCCGTGGAACTGGAGTTAGGGGTGATTGTGAGCCTCCTCACAGGTGCTGAGAATTGATCCCCAGTCCTCCGAAAGAGCAGCCAGAATCCTCTTAACCCATGAGCCACCTCCCCATCCCTGTAGTGTTGTTTTCAGAAAGCAAAGTATGAGCCGAGTGACGGTGGATCGCGTCTATAATCCCAGCGCTCAGGAGGCAGAGGCTGAAGCAGGGGGATCTCTGTAAATTCAAGGCCAGCCTAGTATACAGAACAAGTTCCAGGATAGCCAGGGCTATACAGAGAAACCCTGTCTTGAAAAAACAATTTTTTCAGAAAAAAAGAAAAAGAAGAAAGAAGAGGAGAAGTATGTATTTACCACCACTAAAATCACAAAATATCAAATCTAACCCTGAAGTTGATAATTAAAAGAAAAGTGACAGTTCTGCTGATAAAGGTGCTTCCCACCAAGCCTGATAGCCTGAGTTCAATCTCCAGGACTCCACATGATGAGAGTGTGTCCACGTTCGAAGTCCTACAGCACTAATCCCTGCACGGGAAGAAACAATCAGATCAGCCTAGAAAGCCGGGGCCCTGCAGAGGAACAGACACTTCTCTAGAGGTCAGTGTGTGTGCAGGAAGGGGACTGTCTAATTAGAAAACAGGAGCGGGGAGCCGGTGTGCTTCTCAGACGAACAAGTGTTGGATTTGGTCCCCATGGCAATTATCTCTGATAACATTTCCTCTGAGGAATAGCAGAATCTGTGATTTTGCTTTTCAAAACTTGGCTCCAGTTTTGTGGAATTTTTTTGTTTTTTGTTTTTTTTTTTTTTTTTTTTTTTTTTTGGGTGGGGGGGGGGAGGTTAAGATACAAAGAAAGGAAGAAGCAAAAGCAGCTGGTCTGATTCCAGACTCGAGGATGGAAGTGGGCTCCCAGGAAACCCAAAGTCTCAACTGTTCCTTCCCATCATTCATCTTTGTGGTCCCAGCCCTCTCTGCTCCAAGAAGCAGACAACTAGATGTGTACATTCATAGCAGGAAATGACCAGGGAGGGCAGGGCAGGGCAGACCACGCTGGAGACAGGGATAAAGGCGTATGTCTAAGCAGGGATTGCTCTGCGTCCTCAGAAATAAATGAAGTCATGCTGGGAATTCCCTCTGTAACCTGCATACCTGCATGTGTAAAGACCAGAGGTTGACTTCAGATGGCTTTTTAAAAATGTGTATGGGTGTTTTGCCTGCATGTATGTAGTACAACTTTTTGTTGTTTTGTTTTGTTTGTGACAGGGTAGTACTATATAGCCCTGGCTGGCCTGGAACTCACTATGTAGACCAAGAGGGCCTTGAGTTCATGGAGCTGCCCCTATTTCTGCCTCCTAAGTGTTGAGATCAAAGGTGCACACCACCACACCTGGCCTGCTTTATTATTTGTGTGTGTGTGTGCACATACCACGGTACACCTGTGGAGATCAGAGAGCAGCTTTGTGGAGCTGGTTTTCTCCTTCCAGTTTTATGTGAGCTCCAGGATTTAACTCCGGTCCAGAGGCACCTTTGTCCACAGAGCTATCCAGCTGGCCTTCCACTTTACTTTTGGAGACAGGATTTTAGCCACCTGCCTCCACCCCCTGGGGTTATGGGAGCATGCCAGCAACCCCAGCTTTTCTGTGAACACTGTTTCTCATGCTTGAATGGCAAGCACCTCCCTGACTGGGCAAAACTAGACTCATCCAAGACTCTGATCCTGAAGGGAAAAAAAAAAAAGTCAACGTGAAGGATGAGAAGCTAAACTAGATCAGGAAGGAGACGTGGTCAGAGGTTGTGTGTAACAGGAATTAGGACTCAAAATGGAAGCAAAAGGAAACCATTATGCTAGACATGCCCGGGCAGTTAGAGAAGTGTAAACATGGACTGAGTCACAGGTTACCCAGTAGACACGTTGCTGTCCGTTTTCCCAGGCGAATCAGTCTGAGATATGACAGTTTTCTCAGCTCATGCTGGAGTATAGAGGGATGAAATGCTAAGCAACGTATGTTCAGTGTAAATACAAACGAGAAACACGGACATTCAGAGGTGAGAGGAGGCTCCCTATGTGGGTAAATGGCCTGCCACAGACCCCCAGCATGACAAACTAGTAGGTGTCTGTAGTCACAGTCCACCTAGGTGGAGAAATCTCAGAAGCTCACAGGGCAGCTAGCCTGGAGTACGCAGTGGCAAACAAGAAATAAACCATCTCAAGTCGAAAGCCAAAGCCAAGACCTGAAGTTGACACACACAGATACAGAGATTTTTAAGACATGCACACACACATAGACATATAGAAAAAAACATATAAACATATAGCAGTGTAGAAAAATCACACTAGCCGGGCAGTGGTGGCGCATGCCTTTAATCCCAGCACTTGGGAGGCAGAGGCAGGTGGATTTCTGAGTTCGAGGCCAGCCTGGTCTACAGAGTGAGTTCTGGGACAGCCAGGGCTACACGGAGAAACCCTGTCTCGAAAAAAAAAAAAAAAGAAGAAGAAGAAGAAAAATCACACTTTTGAGGATAGACAATAAGAAGAAGAATTTTTGCGTCCTTCAGCGTGATTTTACATGTGTGTGTACATGTATGTATGTATTCATACTTACACATGTGTGAGTTTATGTGTATGTAGGCGCACAGGTCCAAGGTTGCTGTCAGGAAGCATCCTTCTACCTTACTCAGCAAAGCAGAATCTCTTGGTCAGCCCCAGAGCTCCCTGAGAGGGCTAGGCATGCTAGACAGCCGCTTCCGGGATCCACCACCCCCCCACCTTCGGAGGCTTGAATTATAGGAGGGGCTGCCACCCTTACCCTGAATTTCATAGCTGGGGGATCTAGCTCACATGGTCAGACTGTGGCAAAGTCCAGCATATCTCTGGAGAATGTTTACAGCTCATGCTGGAAAGCTAGGCTCTGACGGACCGTGGCTCACCGTGGGCAAGTAGTGTGTCTCATTCACATTGCAGCTCACTAAACACTTGTAAACTAAACAAGTGATTGAACTAGTGGATAAAGTTTTATTTTACAGAAGCTGAGAGACGGCTCAGTGGTTAAGAGCAGTGGCTGCTCTGTCCAGAGGACCCGGGTTCAATTCCCAGCACCCTCATGGCAGCTTACAACGTCTATAACTCCTGCTCCAGGGAATCTGACACCTTCATGCACATACATGCAGTCAAATCACCAAAAGAGTTTTATGTCGTGTGTATTACTAAGGATAGAGCCAGGGGCCCGGTACATTCTAGGCAAGTGGTACATCCTTGGCCACTTATTCATTTATGAGAGACAGCCTCTCCAAGGTTGCCCATAGTAGCCTCAAACTTGCCACGTAGCCCATGCAGACCTACAGTTTCAATGCTCCTAAATAGCCTCCCAAGTAGCTGGTTCTAGACCGCTAAACCCCGTGGCTATTTTACTTTTATAAAATTAACATGCAGAACCAGCGAGATGGCTCAGCACATGAAGGTACTTACCACTCAAGCCTAGTGACCTGAGTTTCATACCAGGAACCCACAGAAAGATGGAAGGAGAGAAATTATGACACAGAGTTGCCCTCTGACCTCCACGTGTGTCATGGACACACGAACACACACTGCTAAAGGTTTTTCTGGGACAGCATTTTTTTCTGTGTAGCCCTGGCTGTCCTGGAACTTGCTCTATAAACCAGCCCGTCCTGGAACTCACAAAGATCCACCTGCTTCTGCCCCTCAAGTGCTGGAATTAAAGGCGTGTACCACTACCGCCCAGCTAAAAGTTTTGTTTTTCATTAATTTATTTATTTACTTTACATTCCAATATCTACCCCCTCCTTCCAGTTATACACACACACACACACACACACACACACACACACACACACAGCTCCTCCTCCATTCCCCTTCTCTTCTGAGAACAGAGAGATGAGAGATGCCTGGTTCATCTAGTAAAAGCACTAGCTACCCAATCGTGACGTCTAGGTTTGAACTCTAGAACCCTTATAAGAACCATGTGCACTGGCCTAGAGACAGCAGAATGGTCCCAGAGCTTGGGGACCAGCTACCTGCAGTATTCAGCACAGGAATAGAAACAAGAGACCCTGCTTCAACAGGATGCAGGTGAGAACCAACTCCTAAAGATGATCCTCTAACTCCCACCCTATACTCACAAATAAATATTTTTAAAGATTTTTTTTTTTTTTTGGTTTTTTGAGACAGGCTTTCTCTGTGTAGCCCTGGCTGTCCTGGAATTCACTCTGTAGACCAGGCTGGCCTCAAACTCAGAAATCCACCTGACTCTGCCTCCCAAGTGCTGGGATTAAAGGCATGCACCACCAGTGCCTGGCTTAAATTTTTTTTTAAGATTATTTGTTTTATGTTAAGTTCAGACACACAAGAAGAGGGTATCAGATTCCATTACAGATGGTTGTGAGCCACCACGTGGTTGTTAGGAACTGAACTCAGGACCTCTGAAGAGCAATCAGTGCTCTAACCACTGTGCCGTCTCTCTAGTCTGCAAAGAGCTTGTTTGTTTGTTTGTTTGTTTGTTTTTCAAAACAGGGTTTCTCTGTATAGCCCTGGCTGTCCTGGAACTCACTCTGTAGACCAGGCTGGCCTCGAACTCAGAAATCTGCCTGCCTCTGCCTCCCAAGTGCTGGGATTAAAGGCGTGCGCCACCACCGCCCGGCTTTGAAATTCATTTTTATTAGTATTATTTTTGAAGCAAAGTCTGTGCAGCTCTGGCTGGCCTGAAGCTCTCCATGTAGACCAGGCTGACCTTGAACTCACGGAGATCCACATGGCTCTGCTTCCGAGGTGCTTGGATGAAAGGCCTGCACTGCTGTGTTTTACATTTGTTTATTTGAGAGGGTGGGATGGATGTACACACCACAGAGGACTTATGAGAATGAGTTCCACCAGGGATCAAACTCGGGTCACTAAGTTTGCCAGCAAGCACCTTCACCCACTGAGACATCTTACCCAGTCACACTGTCCTGAGCTCCTTCTATGTACCAGGCACCAGGGCTGGTCTCTAGCCCAGAGCTGGGCATCTCCACCTCTCCTGACTTGGATCACCTCAGGTTGGGGCAGAAAACACGGGCTCTCAGAGTCCACAGTCCAGTGGGGTGATCATTTCAAACCAGTATAATAAATGCCATAAAGAAGCCATACTCTGGTCTGGAGGGCTAGTTCAGTGGTACAGTACGTGGCTGATGTGTATGAAGACCTATGTTCTATCCCAAGCACCGTATCAAAACGAAAATAATAAAAAGAGCAGGGGTGGTGGCGAATGCCTGTAATCCCAGCACTTGCAAGGTGGAGGCAGGAGAATTACCCCAAATTCAAGACTAGCCTGGGCTACACCGTGCGAAAATGTCATATTCTCGGACTTATAAACCACCAGAGGATGTGTGTGGCAAAGCCCAGGAAATCTAAAGCTCTTGTAACATTAGACCAGGGTCTTCAAGGGTAAGGGGTAAATCGGGCTGAGTTTCAGACTGCATGCTCTGGCTCTGACACTTAGCGAGCTTGAAGCCCCCACGGTTTGAGAAGGTTGAGTGCCGACGAGCATTAGCTAACCCGGTGAGACTAGAGGAGGAAAAATCCAGCTGGGGTCTTGCAGCGCCTCAACGGGCTCATTATTAAATGAGCGGGGCCTGGAGGCATTTGAGAGCCTGCAGCAAGAGTAAGATTTGTGAATCAGCTTGTCAGTAACACTGTAACAATCCACGAGTGCTACTCCACTAGCTCACCTGGCCCCTTGATGGCTACTATTACATTCGAAAGAGATTTGAGTAGGCTCTGAAGAAACTCAGAGGCCCCAGCCCTTGCCTATCGGTTTCTCTAGTCACACTGAGAGAGCTCAGTGGCCAGCGGCCCAAGAGTGCTAAGTCTCCCTACCGGTTTGGGGCACGACCCATCCTCGCGCTGACACGGAGAGGGTGGTGCACGACCCGATGACCGTCGAGGCAGCGGGACTGGCCCAGCTGGGCTCACTGCCCAGAAACTGTGTATTAAGAAGCGGACCCGCGACCCGGAGCGGCCGGGGGACCCGATCCGGGAGCCTGGACGGGTGGGGAGGCCGGAGCTCCGGTCTGTGCTGCAGAAAACAGTGGCTCCTCCTCCAGCCCCCTCCGCGGCGGCTCGGGGCTCGGAGCCGGCGCCGGTTGAGCCGCAGCCCTTTCCGGGGGGCGGGCCTGGCGGCTGCGGCGACACCCCAGCTCCTGCCCCGACAGGTGCGCGCAGCGCGCAGGAATGCAGCCCGCCTGACTCACCAGCGCCTCCTTCCTACCTGCGCCGCCCGTCCATAAAGCGCTGCTGGCTCCCGCCCGCCGCCGCCCGCCCTGCTGCCCCGCCGGGCTCGCCCGCGCACTCAGCTCGATCCAGCGCAGCCCAGGTCCGAGGTACTCCCACTAAGGTAGGTGCAGCTCCCGCTGCAGATCCGAGGGCACCCCGCCTGCCCCGGTGCCCCGGGACGACAGGGCTGGAGAGGAAAGTGAATACTCACTCCCGCCCGGGGCTTTTGTTTCCCTTCCCTTCTCTGAAGATTGGCAGGCCCTGGCTCCCTCTGCCCATGCTGCCAGGACAGGTGCCAAGCCTGCCAGGATGTGGGAAGGGGACAGCTGGAAGCAGGGTGGTGGCCATCAGATGCCCCCGCTAGAGGAGGACATTGAGTAGGTGGGAGTGGGTAGAGGCTGGGGTTCACCGGCCCTCTGGGGGTTTGCCTCCCCTCAGCGATCTGAAGACAGTAGAGGAACAACTAACTACCTTGCAGCAAGCCCCCTTCTTGTCTGGCTTGACAGGACCTGCTGCGTGGTGACCCGGTGCATGCCGGGCATGGGGAGTCCCTGATTTTCCTCTTGGCTGGCCCGCAGCCTACTCTCTTCCCAAAGCCCGCCCCAGGCACCTTTTCTCGGGGAGCTTTCAGAAGCTCACCCAGCAGCCCTGTGAGCGCTTGTCCCCGCCACACACTCCTCCTCATGGTCCTTGGAGTAGCCTTCTGGCTGTCAGTGTGGCCCGAGATTCCAGGTGGCTCCCAAGGGTAGGCGCAGACCTCTTCCTTCTTCCCGACAGACTTGCCACACCCTGGGCATAGGTTCAACCCAGGGGGGCACGTTTGTTTCTGTCCTGGTCAGAACTAGAAGTGAAAATTGAGTCTCCTGGGGGCTGAGGAGAAAGGAACGAGAACGGACATCAGAAAATGAGTGTTTGGCTCCTTACCCCTAATTTCCAATGGCTGACAGGTTAGGCAAGGGGCTGTTAGGGCTTCAAGTGCTGCTTTCCCGTCTGTTTGGCCCAGCCTGCCATGGCCACATACCCTGATGGCATCCTCCATCCTAACCCTCATGTGAAATTTCGTTGTTTCTGTAATAGGCAACTCCTTTTAGAACTTTTAAAATACAAGCTGGGTCAAAGTAAGCTCTTGAGTGTCTGCCTAGGCCTTTAACAGCAAGTATATAGCTCGTGTGTGTGTGTGTGTGTGCGTGTGAGTGTGTGTGCGTGTGAGTGTGTGTGCGTGTGCGTGTGCGTGTGAGTGTGCGTGTGTTATTCAGTATGGAATCTGCACTGTCCCCAAATCCCCAGGAGACCCTTCCAATGCTGACTGCTGGAAGGGGAGCCTCCACAGCCTCCGTATCACATCTGTCCTAAGCATACACAGGCAAGCCTCTCCCACTGGGTTCTGTGCAGATTCCTTGGTGACCCTTTGCTGACATGCTGGGTATGTGTTGCCATCCTGTCCGTTTGTAACAGCTCTATATGCTGGGCCTGTGAAAAGAGCTGGGTTTGTCCCTCTGGTGCCCATACCTGCCTAGGTAATCGGGCCCTGGGGAGGGCAATTCTGCAGCTTGCATTATGTAGCATGTGGGTGTGGTGCCTACGCCCAAGGCAGCAAGAAACTCATTTCTCCTAGGAGTCACGCCTCTGCTGATTCAGGGCTCCCCCCTAGCCACTACCCTGTTAGGGCAACGTCTCCATGCGGGCTCTGACTGTGGATATGCTGAGACTGATGTCGGCCTCCTTGGGGACCACGCCTTGGATGCAGGGGACTGTACCTGCCTACTTTCTTTGCTGAGCAGAAGACCTCAGCCTTACAGACTCTGGGACTGTCCCTGCCCTACAACATGGGGGTGCTAAGAAAGGATCCAAGGTGGAGGGACAGTGGATGTGGCCTTGTCTGGGTCCTTGGAGGTTGTGGCCCTAGACAAAAAGGTGCGGCCCTGGCCTTTGCCCTCCTCTGTGCAGGCCTTGGTAGCTTTGGAGCCCAGCTTCTTCCTGACAAGGCATTGGGCTGCCCATCTTTTCAAAGACCTGGAAGGCTTCTGGTGTCCTGAGATGGTTTAATAGTGTTCTAATGGCCACTATTGTGTGACAGTGGGCAACAGGGTCTCCTAAACTAACCCCAGGCCCCGATCAGGTGTCCTGAAACTCTGGGGCAGTTGGGTGGACAGCAGGGTGTTTAGAAGCCACACTGATGAGCCAGCAGTGTAGAACGCAGACAGCAGCCACTCCCAAGCCAGCACCTCTTCTCTTGGTGCCATCACCTGCACAAGGAACAAGACAATTGGTACAGAGGGGTCAGCAGGTACAGTAGAGGAAGGCTACTGTTCTATAGAGGAAGCCTACCCACTGAGAGACTGTATCTCCACTCACTGGGAACTGACAGGCAAGGACATCATAAAAGCCCACCCTAACTTTGCTGAGACCAGCTCCAAGAGACCTGGTACTGGAACATCCTCAGAGCCCAGACTCCACAAAGGCCGGAGAGCTCTTCCTCTAGAAAGAGGTAGTAGAGAAGACAGGTATAAAACTCCTTGTCTCTTCCATTGGCAAGCAGAGTACCCCCTGTGGCTACCTAGACCGTGACAGCCGTAATCTCTTCCATCTCCCAAGTGCTGGGATTATAGGTGTGATCCACCCTGTGCGTCAGACTTGAGCCTCCAGCGCCACACTTACACAATATTGTCTCACCTGCCTGGTGGAGCTCTGGTGGGGATCCAGGGAGCCCATGGTGCGGAGCAGTGTTGTACAGACATCGTGCGTCCACTGTGGTTTTGCAGGAGGAAGAGGATGATGGCAGGGCCACGTTCCAGCCCATGGGTGAAGCTGCTGCTGGCAGCAGTGCTGAGTGTCAGCCTCCCTGGAGATATGGGTGAGTCAGAACGTTCCTGTAGCCCCCTCTAGGCAGCTTAAGACACGACCCTGTGTCGATCGGTCAGTCAGTCAGTCAACTGACAGCTGTACATCTCTCAGACTGGAGAACCTGAGGATCCATGTCCTTCACCTCTGATAGCTGTAGGCCCTGCTAGGTAGCCTGAGGTAGAAAGGAAGGCGGCTGCCCAGGGAGGGGAGCCGCCCATTTAGAGGCAGAGCTGAGACCTCAGTGGTGGAGCTAAGGGTGTTAGAGGAACCTCCAGGGAGATTGCTGACATATCAACTATGTTCTTGAGGGTTCCTGGTTGGAGAACAGCTCCTACAGATTAATTACATTTTCCTGTCAGGTGAGGTCATGTTCATTACTTGGGGGAGGACTATGGTGGCAATATTTACACCATAGAAATCGACAATCACAGGAAATCAGAGCTTCCCTTTCCTCATCAAAACTATTACTAAACCCTGACCAGGGAGCCACAGACTAGAGTTCACGAGAGCCCTTACTGTGTGCTCTGATGCAGCTAGTAGGACCTTATTGTGAGTCTAACTAACTAGAATGAAAGGGAACCCCAATAACATCTGTGGAAACTGAGGTCTTTCATTCACTTCTAAGAACCTACTGTGTGCCCAGCCTTAGGCACAAGGCTAATAAACAAGACAGACAGAGCCCCCTCACTAGAGGAGGGTCAAGGGATAGACTAGTCCCCCCTGGCAGCATTCTAGGAGGCATAAGCCATAATGAGGAGGGACTGACAAGGAGAGAGTGGTGAATGTGGCTTGTCACAGGGGTGACAGCCACACTGGACAGATGTTTTACCTAAGTCTACTGTTGTGCGTTGGTCTGCATTGATAGTGATGATTAGTTACAAGAGTCCTGGGGTGACAGGCTAGACATACTGGAAAGGATGAAGTGACAAGGGGGGGGGGTCCAGCTAGCAAAGCCCGCACTTTTCATCCTCCCAACTTAAGAAGAAAGTTCCAGGTTTGAGACCTGGCCCTGCTGGTTCCTAGCTGTGCCGTATGGAACAGACAGACCGTGTTCTCCTCTCTAAGTCTGGAAGAGAGGAGCCACACTTTTGTCGGAGGAGGGTGCAGTTGGGAAGGTCGCAGCCCTCATTCATGTGCCCTCCGCTTACCAGCCAACCGCTGCAAGAAGGCTCAGGTGAAGAGCTGTACCGAGTGCATCCGAGTGGACAAGAGTTGTGCCTACTGCACAGATGAGGTGAGCTACCGCCATTAGGCTCTCTGGGCCAGCCTGAGCTACCATCCACTGCCTGTTGCCTCACATCTGGCTCTAGCCAACTTGATTCTTGCCATCCCATCAGCCTAGCCCCAGATCATTCTGGGGTGTGAGAAGAGGAGAGGGGTGGGAGTATCAGAAGGAAATAAACCAGGAGTAAGGCAGCCCAGGGTTGGCTGTCACCTGCTCTGAGTCCATCTGCTTCTGACCAGCTGTTCAAGGAAAGGCGCTGCAACACCCAGGCGGAGCTTCTGGCTGCAGGCTGCCGGGGAGAGAGCATACTGGTCATGGAGAGCAGCTTTGAAATCACAGAGGTGCCTGGAGTTGGGTGGAAGGGTGGGCTCTCCATGCATGAGGCTGGGTGGTTGGTTATAAGAACCATAGTGCCCCATGGCAGGTCTGGGATGCTCCTCTCAGGTCTCCATAGTGACCTCCTAATAAACTGCTCCACTCCCCTGGACACAGAACACCCAGATTGACACCAGCCTGCACCGTAGCCAGGTATCTCCCCAAGGCCTGCAAGTCCGGCTGCGACCGGGTGAGGAGCGCAACTTTGTGTTCAAGGTGTTTGAGCCCCTGGAGAGCCCTGTGGATCTGTATATTCTCATGGACTTCTCCAACTCCATGTCTGACGATCTGGACAACCTCAAGCAGATGGGGCAGAACCTGGGTACGCTGCAGTATGGGAAAGATGGGCAAGTAGAGGCAGGGCTCGTCCAGCTAGCTCAGGAGGACACGTACGACACGGAACAGCTGCATATACCCTTTGTGAAAAGGTGAAACATCTGAGCCCCCAACACACATACACCTCAAAGAGCCCTCATTCACAGAGGGAGAGAGATTCTGGCAGAGCAAGCTCACTATTTAAGATTTCACAGGAGGTCCACGAATGGCAAACAGCTGAGCCATCTGGCCCTGACAAAGAGGGAACCCCACGCCACAAGGCCATGTCTATGTCAGCTCTGCAGACTAAACTAGGTCAGCTGCCCCACTACTTCTTTCCTTTTCTTTCTTTCTTTCTTTCTTTCTTTCTTTCTTTCTTTCTTTCTTTCTTTCTCTCTTTCTTTCTGTTTTGTTTTTTCGAGACAGGGTTTCTCTGTGCAGCCCTGGCTGTCCTGGAACTCACTCTGTAGACCAGGCTGGCCTCGAACTCAGAAATCCGCCTGCCTCTGCCTCTGCCTCCCAAGTGCTGGGACTAAAGGTGTGCGCCACCACCGCCTGGCACCCCACTATTTCTTAATGCATAACTAAGTTTCCTCCAACCCCACTTTCCCCACCTATAAATCTGAACAAAGGCTGGAGAGATGGCTCCACAGTTAAGAGCACCAGCTGCCCTTCCAGAAGACCTGGGTTCAATTCCCAGCACCTAATGGGCAGCTCACAACCATCTGTCACTCCAGTTCTGGGAGATGGGATCCCTTTTTAGTCCACCATGGACACCAGCCACCCTCATGGTACACAGTCATATATGCTGGCAAAATACCCAGACACATGAGAGGAGAAGAGAGGAGAAGAGAGGACAGGACAGGACAGGACAGGACAGGACAGGACAGAAGAGGACAGGAGAGGACAGGAGATGAGAGGACAGGACAGGACAGGATGGGACTGGAAGGGAGGGGAGGGGAGGGGAGGGAAGGGGAGGGGAGAGGAAAGGAACAAGAGCTAAGAACTAATGTACAACACACAGTGTTCACAAGAGGTCGCCTTTGCTAGCTTCCTCCTTCCTGAACCAGCATAGGGTCCTCTGAGGGGATGCTGGGACTCAGCTGTCTTTCTTTCTTCCTGAAACCCAGCTAAGATCCTGCGCCAGCTCACCAGTGACTACACTATTGGATTTGGAAAGTTTGTGGACAAAGTCAGTGTCCCTCAGACGGACATGAGGCCCGAGAAGTGAGTGGCTGAGTGGGTGTGGGCGGGCAAGGGTCCTGGCCATGTGTTCTGTGTCCTCTCATACTGGCACGGAATTCTCCTCTGACTGCAATGAGTCATACACACCGGAGCACATGGGACCTAGTTCTTCCCTGACGCTGACTCTGTTTCTACCTCTGCACAGGCTGAAGGAGCCCTGGCCCAACAGTGACCCTCCATTCTCCTTCAAGAATGTTATCAGCTTAACAGAAAATGTGGAAGAATTCTGGGACAAGCTACAAGGAGAACGCATCTCAGGCAACCTGGACGCTCCTGAAGGAGGCTTTGATGCCATCCTGCAGACAGCCGTATGCACAGTGAGTGCCCAAGGAGATCCTGGCAGCCTAGGCCAGGGCTGCGCTTTCTGGGAAGGACATAAACTGTTGCAGGCCTGTTCCACCTCTGTGAGGCTCAGCATCCCTTAAGGGGGTCCCCAGAGGCCTGGACCCCATTCCTTAAGATCACCAGATGTTCCACCAGCCCCTAATTCTTTTTTTTTAAGATTTATTTATTTATTTATTTTATGTATATGAATACACTTTAGCTGTCTCCAGACACACCAGAAGAGGACATCGGATTCCATTACAGATGGTTGTGAGCCACTGTGTGGTTGGTTGCTGGGAATTGAACTCAGGACCTCTGGAAAAGCAGCCAGTGCTCTTAAACACTGAACCATCTCTCCAGCCCCCAGCCCCTAATTCTAATCCTATTTTTGATGTGCTGGGAATCCAGGTCCATGCCTGCATTGTTACAACCTGCATTTGTATTAGCCAGTGAGGCAGACATGGATCTAGTAGTTCTGGAATATTCAGGGCCCTGACCATCTCCCAGATCTACAAGTTGTCCAGTCTCCAACTGTGCTGGCAGCTATTTATTTATTTATTTATTTATTTATTTATTTATTTGTGAACAAAGGCTGGAGAGATGGCTCCACAGTTAAGAGCACCAGCTGCTCTTCCAGAAGACCTGGGTTCAATTCCCAGCACCTAATGGGCAGCTCACAACCATCTGTCACTCCAGTTCTGGGAGATGGGATCACACACACACACACACACACACACACACGTGCACAGGCCACAGGATGGAGGTGTGTATGTAGCGGTCAGGAGATAACTTTTGGGGGTTAGTTCTCTCCTTTCCCCATGCCTGGGGGGTATAACTCAGATTATCAGGCTTGAAGACAAGTACCATTGCCTGCAGAGCTGTATCTCTGGCCCAGGGCTGGCAGTTAAAATTGCCACTTCTTTTTATGTCTACATCATTTTTTTTTCATTTTGAAAATAATCTATCTATAGTGCAGATAAATTAGAAAACAAAGAACGAAAACTGCCTATAATTCCAAAAACAACAAACAGCCAACTCTTTGATAGCCTGTAGATATATTTTGTTCCTTTTCCCACATTTTACATAGTGGAACTGTTTTTCCTATAATTCTGAAACTTGCCCCCTCCGTCCCCGATTTTTTTTCTTCACTTAACACTATCACGAACACTTTCTTGTAATGCACAGTTTTGAAAACACACTTTAGCTGGGCAGTGGTGGTGCACGCCTTTAATCCCAGCACTTGGGAGGCGGATTTCTGAGTTCAAGGTTAGCCTGGTCTACAGAGTGAGTTCCAGGACATCAGGGCTATATACAGAAATCCTGTCTCAAACAACAACAACAACAACAAATAACAACACACACAAAAAAAAGAAAAGAAAGCACACTTTATATAAACCCAGGAGGGTGATACACATCCAAAATTCCAGCACTTGGGAAGTGGAGGCGGGGTGATCAGACTTCTAAAAGCATCCTCAGTTACGTACTGAGTTCAAGACCAGCACAGGCTACATGAGACCCTGTCTGAAAAACAAAACAGGCTGCAGATTGGGAGAATATGCCTTTAATCTCAGCACTCGGCAGGAAGAGGCATGGGGATCTCTGAGTTGGAGACCAGGCTGGGTCTACAAGGTGAGCTTACAATCAGGAGCAACATAGTGAGGTCTTGTCTCAATAAACAAAGCAGGAGAGAGAGAGAGAGAGAGAGAGAGAGAGAGAGAGAGAGAGAGAGAGAGAGAGAGAGAGAGAGAGGACAAAAGAAAGAAAGGAGAGAGAGAGAGAGAGAGGACAAAAGAAAGAAAGAAGAGAGAGAGAGAGGACAAAAGAAAGAAAGAAAAGAGAGAGAGAGAGAGAGAGAGAGAGAGAGAGAGAGAGAGAGAGAGAGAAGAAAGCAGAACGATGTGCTGGAGAGATGGCTCAGCAGCCAGGAGAACTTACTGTTCTTCCAGAGGACCCAGGTTCAATTCCCAGCACCCACATGGTGGCTTAAAGCCATCTTTAACTCCAGTTCCAAGGAATCCAACCCACTCTTCTGGTTTCTGCAGACACCACGCATGCATGTGGACAGACAGACAGACATGCAGGCAAAACATCCAAATAGAGGGAAGACAATTTTAGAATTAAATAAATCACGGGTATAAAATCACGGGCTAGAGAATTTGGCCAATATCTATGAGCACTTGCTGCCCTTCCAGAGGACCAAGGTTTGACTCCTAGCATCTACGTCAGACAGCTCACAAGTGAGGGGACTTGACACCTTCTTTTGGGTTCCTCAGACACCTCCACACACACGAGGCATACAAAAACGCAAGCATACACGTACACAAATAAAGCAAATCTTTTTTTTTTTTAAATCACCCTAAGCCAGATGTGGTGGCACATGCCTTTAATCCCAGCTTTTTGAGAGGCAGAGGCAGGAGGATCTCTGTGAGTTTGAAGCTAACCTGGTCTACACAATGAGTTTTAGGACAGCCAGGGCTACATAGAGAGACCCTGTCTCAAGATAAATAACAAACAAACAAAAAATTCCTCCCAAATAATGCTAGATGTGGTGGTCTGTGCCAATAATCCCAGCATTCAAGAGGCTAAGGCAGGAAGGTCACAAGTCTGAGGTCAGCCTGGACTACAGGGCAAGGCCTTATCTTAAAAACAAAGACACTCTATGTATTTTTCAAATTATTTGCCATATGCTGTTGTCTTAGCCAATGTTCTACTGCTGTGGGGAGACGCTGTGATCACAGCAACTCTTATTAAAGAAAGCATTTCACTGGGGCTTGCTCACAGTTTCGGAGGTTTAGTTCATTATGGCGGGAAGCATGGCGACATGCAGGAAACCATGGTTCTTCATCCACAGACAGCCACAGGCAGCAGGAAGAGACACTAGACTAGGAATAAGCTTCTGAAACCCCAAAGCCCCCAACAAGCCATGCCTCCTAACCCCTCTCAAGTAGTGCCACTCCCCGGTGACCAAGCATTCAAATCTAGGAGTCAGTGTGAGCCTGTCCCGTGGGAAACACCATCTCTTTCAGCCTGCCCGTTTCACTTAACATGGTGCTGTGAACATTTTCCTATGCATCTACACTATCCTTGCAGTGTGGCTGAGGGCTTGGGATCAAAAGGAGCTGTCCCAGGGTATCAGGCTTGACTCGCTCGTGGTGCCCATACTGGGCACACTCTCTGCCACAGCGCCCCGTGCTGGGCACACTCTGCATATCCTCTCTCTCTCTGGTTTTCTCTGTCAGTCACACGTTCTGCATAATGATACATGCTATTTATTAATCCCGTGGCTTCGGCCCACAACCCCTTTTGGGAACCACTTCATGAAAGAATGTCAGTCCTCAGCAAGCAGCCTGCTTAGTGGGTGTGCCCCTCCTTGCCTTGCAGAGGAACATTGGCTGGAGGGCTGACAGCACCCACCTGCTGGTGTTCTCCACCGAGTCTGCCTTCCACTATGAGGCCGATGGTGCCAACGTGCTGGCCGGCATCATGAACCGTAATGATGAGAAATGCCACCTGGACGACACGGGTACCTACACCCAATACAAGACACAGGACTACCCATCCGTGCCCACACTGGTTCGCCTGCTTGCCAAGCACAACATCATCCCCATCTTCGCTGTCACCAACTACTCTTACAGCTACTATGAGGTGTGAGACCTGGGTAGTGCAGTGGGGTGGAAAACAGAACCTCTCAGCTCCCTTCTTTCTTCACTCCTGATGCCTCCCCCCAAAACTTCTGGGTCCCCATTCCCTACCTGAACTCTCAAGCAGGTGAGAGAGTAGGTGCCTGGTTTTACCACTTGGCATAGTAGATGTATCTAAAGATGTAAGATAGTAAGTATCTAAGGAAAATACAATGTGACAGAGCTTAACCCAAGGCCTGTGTTGTCTCTTGCAGAAGCTCCATAAATATTTCCCTGTCTCTTCTCTGGGAGTCCTGCAGGAGGACTCATCCAACATCGTGGAGCTGCTGGAGGAGGCCTTCTATGTGAGGAGCCCCGCTGGGACAGGGAGGGAGGAAGGAGTGGGCGAGAGGTTGAAGGATGTGTGTGGGATAAGGCAGTGAGGCGGGTCTCTGGCCATCCCTGGAGCCTGAGAGTCTACTGGGCGATGGCCCAGGCTCCCGCAGGGGCTGCCCCTGTGCTCACATGCCCACCCTCATCTGTCTTCCATTCCAGTCAGGTGAAGAACAGCCAGGCCATGCCAAGGTGGCCGAGCCCAGGCTCCACACAGACCACTATCATTTCTTCTTCTTCAGAGAATTCGCTCTAACCTGGACATCCGGGCTCTGGACAGCCCAAGAGGCCTGAGGACAGAGGTCACCTCCGATACTCTCCAGAAGACAGAGACTGGGTCCTTTCACATCAAGCGGGGGGAAGTGGTATGCTCTCGTGAACACAGGGGGATGGGAGGTTAGGTGTAGCCTCCTAAAGGAGTGGCATCTTCTAACAAGGGACATACATGGGCCCTGGGGTTCAGTTCTTCTGGCTTGGATCTCTTGGATGAGCCTGGCACATTCCTCTGCTTGTTCATATCCCTGTCCATACACTGGGAGTGAATAAGAGTGTGCACCAGTAAGGGTTGCTAAGATGAGTGGGCAGGCTAGTGTCAAAGAGCCACTGTCTACCTCGGCTGACACTGGGATCCCTGCAGGGCACATACAATGTGCAGCTTCGGGCAGTGGAGGACATAGACGGAACACATGTGTGCCAGCTAGCCAAAGAAGACCAAGGGGGCAACATCCACTTGAAACCCTCCTTCTCCGACGGCCTCCGGATGGATGTGAGCGTGATCTGTGACGTGTGTGCCTGTGAGCTGGTAAGAATCAGCCCTGCTGTGGGTGAGGGAGAGAGGAGCTGAGCCCTGCACTAGGACCCTGGGTAAAAGAGATGGAACCTCCTGTGGATATACATCCCTGAAGGGTTGTCCCAAGTCACAGAGAGCAGCAGAAATACCCAGCAGCGAAACCAGCCATAAAAGAAACACTTGTAACCAAGCGTTTAGGAGGCTGGATAAAGAGAATCTTGTTTGAGGCCAGTTTGGGTTATATAGAAAGTTCCAGCCAAGCCGGGCGGTGGTGGCGCACGCCTTTAATCCCAGCACTTGGGAGGCAGAGGCAGGCAGATTTCTGAGTTCGAGAGTTCGAGGCTAGCCTGGTCTACAGCGTGAGTTCCAGGACAGCCAGGGCTACACAGAGAAACCCTGTCTCGAAAAACCAAAAAAAAAAAAAGAAAGTTCCAGCCAGACAGTGGAGGTGCAGAGACAGGCAGATCTGAGTTCAAGGCCAGCCTGGTCTGCAGAGCCAGTTCCAGAACAGCCAGGGCAATACAGGTAGACCTTGCCTTGGAAGAAAAAAACAAAGCAAAACAAAAACAGAAGAAAGGAAGGAAAGAAGGAAGGAAGAAAGGAAGGAAGGGAGACAGGGAGACAGGGAGAGAAGGAGGGAGGGGTGAGGGAGGGAGGAAGAGAGAGAGAGAGAGAGAGAGAGAGAGAGAGAGAGAGAGAGAGAGAGTGAGAGAGAGAGAGAGATCCAGACCAGCCTCAGCTGGTGCCCAGTGGCTCTGTCCCTGCCTTCTATGTGTGGACACACCATGATCTTGTTCCAGCAAAAGGAAGTTCGGTCAGCTCGCTGTAACTTCAGAGGAGACTTCATGTGTGGACATTGTGTGTGCAACGAGGGCTGGTGAGTGGGAAACGGAGCCTCTCCTGACACGTTCAGCCGCAGGGGCAGTCCTTGTATATATTCGGGTCCTTGAAAGGGCTGAAAGAGGGGCACACTCAATTGTTGGACGAATCCGGTTCAAATCTATGTGGGATGGTCCTTATTTAACTGAATCTGGCTTAGCCTGTTTGGGGCTGGTTTTATTTTGTTTGATTGACTGGATGGTGGGTTTTGTTGAGTCTTACTGTATAGGGCAGACTGGCCTCAAACTCACTATCCTGTCTCAGACTTGCAAGTCCTGAGAGTCTATGCTACCAGGCCTGTCTCTGATGTCCAGCTCCTCCTCCTCCTCTTCTTCCATTACAATGGTGCAAAAGTGGCTGACAGTAGGCTGGACTGGGCTAAGTTGTTACTGGCTTAGGCGCTGGAAACATGATTCAATTTACAATAGATTTGTCGTGAATAACCCCATCATAAACTGAGGCGCATCCACACATGGACACATGAACTATTTCTGGGTGTCTGGGTGTCGCTCGCTAAGACAGACAAGATGACTGTCAGGGGTGGGACTGGGTGCTGATAGCAGGTCTGACTCGGTTTTCACTTCAAATCTTTTCCGCCACACACAGACCACTGAACCGGAAATGAGCTTAGTAGCAGATACGATGGCTCGCCTCCCAGAACTCAGGAGGCAGGGGCGGGTGGATCTCTGAGACTTTGAAGCTAGTCTGGCCTATTTATACAGCAAGTTCCAGGCCAGCTAGGCCTATGTCGTGAGACCCTGTCTCAGAAAGAAAAGACAAGACATTAGCTGGTAGGGAAGTGTTGGTAAGGGTTCGAGACACTTGCTGGCCGCCAGGCTTCATGTACTTGGTGACTTGGGGAGCTAAGGCAGGAGGATTTTTCAAGCCCAGAAGTTTGGATCCTAAGCAATATAGTGAAACCTTAAACGAGCAGCAAATCCAGCCTATCCAGGCTCAGCGCCGCCTACTGGTGACCCCAGGACTACGGGGGGCAGAGGGAGGATCTAGACAAAACCAACCTAAGTCTTAGTGAGTTCCAAGTCAGCCAAGGCCTCCAAGAAAGACTCGTTTGACACACAACAAAAAAACAAAGACAAGCAAAATCACCCCGAGACACCAAGCAAGTCTGTCATGACTTGAGACAGGTGAACACTGAAGAGGAACAATTAGTGAGCAGGTAACAGGACCCTGAGGTTTGGGTCCCAGCTGAGCTATTGCTATCTGTATGACTTGGATACCTCCACCCTTATGGATCCTCAGTATTGTGGTCTGTAAAATGGGAGCATAAAAGTAGCAGGCTTCCTCCCAGGCTATGCAATAGTGACCAGTTCCTCCTTCAGGAGTGGCAAAACCTGCAACTGCTCCACGGGCTCTCTGAGTGACACGCAGCCCTGCCTGCGTGATGGAGAGGACAAACCATGCTCGGGCCACGGTGAGTGCCAGTGCGGACGTTGTGTGTGCTACGGCGAAGGCCGCTACGAGGGTCACTTCTGCGAGTATGACAACTTCCAGTGTCCCCGCACCTCTGGATTCCTGTGCAATGGTGAGTTCAGCTCAGCAGCCTTGACCAGCCCTGTGGGCAGGGAGGGCACTTGGCAGAGGCAGAAGCTCTCCCCCCATCCCCATCCCTGTTCGGGTTCAACCACAGCCTGGACCTCCCTTCCCTCATCAGCAGTACCCATGACCAAGGTCCCTGACAGGCACGAAGCACTCTTCCTTCCTCTGGGCTATCTCTGGCAACTCAGATCCCCAGTCCATCTCAAGATGGAGACAATCCGGTTCGCCCCCCGAAGGGTGACAGGAACATGACAGAACAATCTTTCTTCTCTAAAACGTCTAGTGGCAGCCACAAACGTGTGTCTCCTCCATATTTACGAAGGGCCGATCGCTGAGATTATACAGGCCGGTGCTCGTAGGTAGAGCAACCCAGGCGAGGTGGTAAATAGGTAACAAATAAATGAAATCCATTATATAGTTATTAAACTCTCACTGCGTACTGGTCACCGGATAGTATGGTCTTGCTTTCCTATACCTTTATCTAGCCTGTTTTGGTTTTTTAATTTTCATTACCCTGTGTGTCTGTGAGTACGTTCGTGTGTGCCGTGGTATACAGATGGAGATCAGAGAACAATCTGCAGGAGTCAGTTCTCTCTTTCTGCCATGTTGGTCCTAAAGACTGACTCCTATGTCAACCTTCTCAGACTTGACTCCCCCCGACCCCTGGTGGCCCCTCCTTCCCCGTGTGGCTTTTGTTTACTGTTTTTTTTCTCTTCAGCTCTCTTTCCCAGGGTGTGGTGGAGAAATGAAAGGGTAAGCCAGGTGTATCTGGAAAAGGGCAGACAGTTAGTAGAGGTAGAGGTGTGAGCGAGGAGAGGAAGAAGAGATTTAGAGGGATGTAGCAGGGCCAGTGGACAAGCAGCTTGGGTTGGGGGCAGCGGGAAGCTGTGGATATGTATGTCACCTCACTTTGTGTTTTTTCCTTTACACTCACCTGTGAAACCTAAGCATTCATTGGTAGATTCTCCTAGATACTTTGTCACAGTTGTCCTGGCTTTAGGAAGACATTGTTGACTAGATACTTTGTCACAGTTGTCCTGGCTTTAGGAAGACATTGTTGATTGACTCCAGGCAGGACCGCCCCCCTACAGTACCGGCTTGTGAGTTGTCTTTCTCCATGATCCTCCTGTGTTCTGGAGACTGAACTCAGAGCATGCTCCTGTCACAAGCACCTCTTCCCTCTGAGCCATCTCACCAGCCCCTGCAATCCGATTTCTTATTTATTCATATCTGTGCCTTTCTCCAGCCTATTGTCTCATTAGAGATCACAAGGAAATCACAGGAATGGATTTGTGTTTGAGGATGGTCACTCTGCCTTCAGAAGAAGGCAGGACAGAGGGGAGATGTTTCCAGAAAATTGAGGGGCAGCTTCTACTACAGGGCTCCCAGAGGCTGGCTGTAACGGTTGGCCATCTTGGATGGCGTATATGAATGTGGGTCTGCTCTTCCCTTTCTTCCTCTCTTACAGACCGGGGACGCTGCTCCATGGGAGAGTGTGTGTGTGAGCCTGGTTGGACAGGCCGCAGCTGTGACTGTCCCCTCAGCAATGCCACCTGCATCGATAGCAATGGGGTAGGCCTGGATATAGGACAGGTGGTGTGGGCAGTAGAGGGAGCAAGAAAGGAAGGATAGAGCCCTGCCTGCTCACTGCTGACTCCCCCACCCCAGGGCATCTGCAATGGACGAGGCTACTGTGAGTGTGGCCGTTGTCACTGCAACCAGCAGTCGCTCTACACGGACACCACCTGTGAGATCAACTACTCTGCGGTGAGGAAAGGGTTCTGGGGTGTGAGAATGAGAACCCCAGGAACTGCAGAGGCTGGGAAGGAGACACTGGCTGGGGGCACTAGAGAAAGGGCATTGGGTCCACCCAGCATGGTGTCTGTTTTCTTCTCCCCACCCAGATACGCCTGGGCCTCTGTGAGGACCTCCGATCCTGTGTACAGTGCCAGGCCTGGGGCACCGGGGAGAAGAAAGGGCGCAAGTGTGAGGAGTGCAGCTTTAAGGTCAAGATGGTAGACGAGCTTAAGAAAGGTAGGTGCGACAGCAACAGCGTGGTACCCTGCAGCTTTAATACCAGCTCTTGGGAGACAGCAGCGGGTAGATCTCTGCTTCCTTAGTGAGTTCCAGTACAGCATAGGTGACATAGTAGGAGTCTGTCTCCGGGTCGGAGAGGGTAAGGGGTCTGAGGGACGTAGTGCTGAGTCTAGGTAGGAAGAACCCAGCAGAGAGGAGGGGTCCCTCTCCGGGGGAAAAGGCTCTGAATTGAGGTTACGCCTCCCGGACTGGGTTTGTGAGTGGGACTGTGGGATGCTTCAGGACCTAGACGGGAAGCCTAGTACAGGTACAAAGTCGGAGCAAGACCGGAGAGGGAACGGAGAGTCCCTGTAACTGGGAGTGAGGAGTCAGATGAGTGAGAAATAGGGCATGCCCACAGCACAGTTGGGGGCCCAGCTGGGGCGTGTTGTTGGATGATGGGATATTATTTGTCTCCTTCTAAGTCAGCTCTGCTGGCTGGACACCGTACTCATGACGGTGTGCGGTGCCGGGAAGTCGGGGAGATGAACTTTCAGACTAGGCCTGGACAGGGCAGTCCCCTTCATCCTGGTGACATCTCTAGTCAGGGGACTTACGCCTTTCCCCAGACCTCGTAGTAGGCCACGGAGGAGTCCCTGGGGTGCCCCGAGTGGAGGGCTAGGGTCAGGGTACCATGCTAACAGTCTGTGGGTCCAGCGGAAGAGGTGGTGGAGTACTGCTCCTTCCGGGACGAGGATGACGACTGCACTTACAACTACACCGTGGAGGGCGATGGCAGCCCTGGGCCCAACAGCACGGTCCTGGTCCACAGGAAGAAAGGTGAGCTGGCAAATGGGCGTGCACAGCCTGTGGCCCCTGGCAACCCGGGCGGGCATGCGCACTGCCTCCTTCTCGTCTCACCCTGCAGACTGCCCTCCCGGCTCCTTCTGGTGGCTCATCCCCCTGCTCATCTTCCTCCTGTTGCTCCTGGCTTTGCTTCTGCTGCTCTGCTGGAAATTCTGTGCCTGCTGCAAAGTAAGTTCCCGGCCCAGGCCCTCCTGGGATGGAAGAGATACAGAAGGTCCAGACTGGCCATGGCAAAGCGGACCACATCTGCCTGGCTCTACTGCTTCCTGCCTTGGGCCATCAGAGGCCAGAGCCCCAGAGTACTTGTCATGGAGTTCACCCCCTGTGAGCAAGGGAGGCAGCAGCTGACAGTCTGGGGCCGGTCAGCAGGGGCAACAGACTAGGGGGTGCACAGCATGGGATGATGGGTAGGGGCAGAGACCACATACTGTGCTAACCCGTGGCAGTGTGGGATGTGTGCATACAGAAACGGGTTCTATGATCAGATATGTTAGAGAAACATGTATTTCTTAGGGCCTTTAAGTGTTTACATAATGGGTTGGGAGTGTAGCTCAGTTGATGTTGGTCTTGCTTAATACATATAAAGCCCTGGACTTGATCGCAAATATATGAAGCCCTGAAGCCCTGGACTCGATCGCAAGCATTCCGGAAAACTGAGGCCTAGCTAGACGTGGTGGTGAACACCTTTAATCCCAGCAGTCAGGAGGCAGACGCAGGTGGATCTTTGTGAGTTTGAAGACAGCCTGGTCTACATAGCAAGATCTAGGGCAGCCAAGGCTGCATAATGAGACTTCGTCTCAAACACTGGAGAGAGAGAGAGAGATTGAGAGGAGAGAGAGAGAGGAGAGAGAGAGGAGAGAGAGAGGAGATAGGGAGAGGGAGAGGGAGAGGGAGAGGGAGAGGGAG